ACCTTCTCCCAAACTGGGGGTGGTGTTGGTGAAGTAGGGGGTGTGGGTGGCTTGTGTCTGTGTGAGTGTGGATGCGGGTGTCGGCGCCCGGGCGTAAAGGCGGTGTGCCTCAAGAGGGGCGAGGATAGACAGAGGGGGGAGACATGAGGCGTTGGAAGAGAGCGAGGCGTTGCTGTTTTGGAATGCGGAATTTACATCAAACCCATGAGCATGAAAGATAGAAACGAGCGTGAAGAAGGAGGAGCCAGAGGAGGGGGAGATTAAGAAAGGAACAGGCAGCATCATTTGTAAACTTGCAGTCCTACTTTCAACCAGACAGAACGAATACATCGGCTTTATAGACAGTGGCATTGAACCTCGTGCTTCCCAAGACTCCTCTAGCTTGTTGATGCACTCTTCCTGGGGTCCCACATCTGTGCCTCACAATCAAGTTTCTGATGCCATGCCCTTGATGTTGAGAGATGCCCGTCTTAGTTAGCTGGGCCGGGTCAGCGAACACAGAACCTCTTGGGAATTTGAAGCACGCCGCTGACGGCTGTGTCAACCGTTGGTGAGTCGGCCCCTTGTGATGCGACCCGGCAGAAATGGCCATCCACAAAGAGCATCCCATGTGCCTCCATTCTTCTTTACCTGCAGCATCTCGAGGCGCACTGCGTCTCGTGCCTCCTGCAATCGCTCGATCTCGCCCAGCCGGGCCTGTGCCATAGGAAATGCCATCATGGAAACGCCTGTAGCTTGAACCATTCTAGGCCGACACTAACCACCTAATCGCTCAGTTGGGTGAAGTGTGCCGTGGGGCTTCCAGTCACTTGCCTCCATCAACATGGCCAGGGTGTCCTTCTGCTGCTCGGAGATTTCGGTGTTGTGGGCCTGGTGTGCTGATCAAGAGAGTTCCAACCCATTCGCATGCTAGACCATCTCCGGGAGACATCACCATCTCATCTCCAGGCATCTCTGACGATCCCGGTCCATGTTGCGCTCTACCAGATTCCTGTATTGTTTCCAAAGGTTCTTGGCAGCCATCACGGCCCCATTTTAAGTTTAGTTGCATTCAAGCATCAAGAGGCAAAGGTGTCAATTTGTACCAAGCTGGCACTTTCGTTTTCTGGCGAGGGTGCGCTTGCAGGCCTGCACGCGCAGTATGTTTAGCTCCCCGTGTAAGCTTCGAGGCTAGCACGCCAGCCCTGACAACTAGTTTGCAGCACGACGACCTAAAGACGCTTTGAGGCAAGCACACATTATCATTATCACACAGCGTTGCAGCAAAGATTGTGGGAGTGGGTAGTGATCGCATCACACTCTTGGAAACGAGCTCCGCCTCTCCTTTATTTCTTGCGACCAATTAAGAAAAGAACGAGGGATGCGGGGGGGCGCAGCCGTTCCCCCTTGGATAACCCGAGAGCAAAACCGAGTACCCTGAAAGCAAGAAAATCAAAACAACGACAAAGAGACTCGCGTGAGTAGCTCCAAACCCGCTCGTCAATTCAAGCCATGTGCAGGAACCCGAGATCATGCATTCGTGCTCTGCGATCTTTACTTTTCATACGAGCAATAGACAGCTCTGCTATTCAGCTCAAACTAATTCTGTGCTGCATATAGCCGGGAGGTTTCCTAGAAAATTTAAGTTCGACGTGCCTGTTGCTGCTCCCCCTCAGTGCATGCTGAGTCTAGCCGACGCTGCCGCCGGGTAGCCGGGCCCCTCGAAGCTAAACCCTAGACCCTAGACCCATCTAGACCCTAAACCCTAAACCCTAAACCCTAAACCCTAAACCCTAAAAAATCTGCACTGCCAAGCTCAGCAGTGGCGTGAACAGACCCATTGGGCCACGACGCTTTGGGCGACATGCTTCCCTGCATCGGTGGTGATCTGAACAGGACGGCGTAGGCTCGATCGCCTTTGTTTGCTGGCCCCCTTCCACATCGTTGGGAAGTCCGTGGGGCACGGCGGTTAGACTCCTGATTTCTGTTGCATGGCGGCGATGTGGGTACTGATGGCCTCCAGCGTCGCCTTGACCGTCAATACCTGCTTCTGCTTGACCCCAGAGCAGTGAGGAAGTTTATCTTGAGATCTGCCGGCAAGATGCCAAGAGGCGGCATGAGCCGGAGGCTCATAAAATGTCAATCAAGGCTTTTAGCGTATAGGGCCTTAAGGACTTGGAGTACAGAGCTTCAGGTGTGTGAACCCTAGAGAAACCAGAGAAACCATGGACCAGGAAACCGAATTGACCCCGTTGCCCATCCACTTGCGTGACATCCGGCCTCATTGGTCGTACGTGACTTGAGCAGTTCCACCAGCTCCCCCTGCTCGTCCGTGGCTGCCTTCCGGTCAGGTGGCATAGGCGCTTTTGTAGTGAGCCGGCCAGCTTCTGAGTAGCATGGGGAACCAGACTGACTGCATGTTGCATAGTGTGAAAACGGCAACATGCCCCAATGCGTGAGGCCTCAGGTGTGAAGCTACATAGCAACCCAAAAAACCCGTACCCGCCCTACTCGCGCAGAGTGCGACTGGAGAACATCCAGGAGAAGCCGGAGAAAACAAAGCGGTTCGCAGAGAGTCGGAAAAGGTTTGCAGCAGGCCTCAGGTCCACCCATTTCTTGTATGCGTGCCTGCCAGTGCCCAGCAGGGACATCCACAGCATGCGTGAAGCATGTTTGTGCCGCTGGGCTTTAGAAGCTGCTGTGCCTGCGTCGACATAGGGTCGTAAAGGCAAGACCATACTCGAGAAAAAGGGTTTTAGAGGGAGAGAAGAATCAACCTCGCAAGTTCCCGACGTCGGCCATGCTTCAGATGGGTTAAGTTTTGACAAGCAAACACTCTTTGGGCCGGGTTGGGTCCAGGCAGCTGCAGAAGGTGTTGGCAATCGTGCGACCCCAAGTTCGTTCCTGCTAGCTGGTTTTCAGCTTCCGGCCTAGATGGAGCCATGTTTCTCTTGGAGGGCCTGCCCTAAGAAGCGATGCGAAACTGCCCTAAGCTCTTTGAAAGTGAAGCCATCGCGAACATAACCGCCGCAATCCGAACCTGTAGGCGGTCGATCTCTGCATTGAGCTCCTTGTGCCAGAGTTTGCCGTGCAGTGAGCACGCAAACAACACACAAACGCTGAACCTCCACGATGACTGCGACTCGGGTCAAGCCCATCTTCTAAGTCCTAGGTAGCCACCCTAAACCCTAAAACCCAAAACCCAAAACCCAAAACCCTAAACCCTAAACCTTCCTGGTAGCTTCCTGGCTCGGTACGACCGATTGCAGTCCTCCAGCTTGGAATCGCTGTCACCCTTTTGCGACTCGAGCTCTTGCACTTTTGCCTGCCGGAATACACACCTTTAGGTGGAATTCACCTAAGCTCACAGAGTTCAGATTGGGAAACCATCCGATGATCTAGAATGATCGAGTGGAATACCTCACCTTGGTGGTCACTTGTGAGGAGAATGCTTGCGATGCACGTGCCTCGAGCTCTTCCACTGTAAGGGCGACATCCACCGCGCCCGTCTTGGCCTGGAGATCGATGAAACCCTAAACCCTAAACTCTTTTTGCTAAACCCTAACCCTAAACGCGTTTTTGGGACTGGACTGTGACCTTGCCAGTACTATGCGAAGCGACCAGGAGGAAGGGCAGCGCGGACCAATCACTGGATAACCCACGATATTGCAGCGAGACAGGACTTATGTTAAGAGCCACCCACGGAACTTTCATCCGCCACTCCCTCGACACGATCCCGAAATGTCACTCGTGAAACCCTAAACCCTAAACCCTATACCCTAAACCCTAAACCCCTAACGACACTGAGAGCATGGCCCGAGCAAGGCGGACTCGCACGTCAGACTCTGCATTGGCCTGCGCAGGTGCAGGACATTGTCAGGAGCCACATGGTCTGTGGGGAAAAACGAAACTGCTACTCAGCCCCTCTACTTGCCCCTCATGTCCTTCATCTCTTCCAGTGCCTTCTGCGAATCTGCCACCTCCGAAGCAGGGGTGTGAGCAAACAACGAGCGGCTGTTGCGTGAACACTTTAATTCAGGCCGAGAATGAAGTAACACGGAATGACACAGGCATTCCGGCCGATTCTACACTGCATGGCATGCGCCACGCTAGTTTTCAGTCCTCTAAATCGCTGCGACCGTATGCGAGCATGACACAGCTCACTCGCCCCACCTTCTGGTCTGCTGCCGCCTTGGAAGTCCAATGCTAGAACTACAGCTCGGTCCTCCAGCCCTCCTTTCTCAGAGCCATGCAAGGACACCAACTGCATCCTGGCTGCGAGCTTCTCTTCCCACTCGCGGCGCTCCTTTTCAATCTCCTCGCTTCCCATCGATGTAAGCTGTGCCTGACCAGGCCGGCGGATCTTGTCAATCTTACAGCCTTTGTCAATTTGGGACTGAAAGTGCTCCATACAAAGGCTCGCTATTCAAACAGACCAGTACACTTGCAGGACGCGGGGACCTGAAGCTTAGCATTCTCCTCCTGCAGTTGCTTGATGAGCTCGGCAGTTGGATCCAGCTGCTTCTTGACCTCCAGATGCTGACAAAGACCACCTCGCCTCGTCTACATGGACGTGGGATCGCTTGATGAGTTTGGAGTTCTGCGGCACTGCCTTGACTGGCATCTTCTTTGCATTATCCGCGAACCGAAGCCTTGGATAAGGAGCTCACAAGTATGCACAAACCGTTGTTGAAGTCTGTGCCTCCGCCTCGCCACATCTTGACATGCCGGCATGTTTGAGCCAAAGAACGTCGACACTGTGTCGTTGTAGTTGATGTCAGCTGGAGACAAGGCTGCAATCATCACCTGAAGGGCAAGCAGACAGCACGAACAGTGACTCTTGGCAGGTCACAATGTATTCGCATGAAGGAGACTTGGGCCAGCACCGTCACAGCATTGCCGCCCAAGCTTTCGGACAAGAGCCTAGTGAGCTTGTCCGTGTGGTTGACCTTCCATGCCACGTGACTGGTAATGCTGCGATGGACCGCATCCCTAATGCTGAAAAAGCATGCAGCCAACGCCCGAAAATGGCTGCTGGCAAGCTGCCCGCTCCCCCTTGCACAACTGCACCAAGCCTCGGCTGCACATAATCGACTCATGCAAGCAGATCACAGGGGACACGCGTATTTCTACACATTGTCCAAGCACGGCATGATTTAGATCAGAGAAACCGTGGCAGCACCCCCTCCTAAAAAGAGTAGAGGGCGCTCTATGGTGCTCTAGTCATGCTGAACCTGGAATGTTGCGCCATCGAACAAACTCAGGAGCCAAGACGGCCAAAAACATATGGAATTAAGCTTACGATCTCCTATGCTGATCTTGAAGGCATTGAAGGCACAGGGGACAGAGACTGATCTGCCTCCAAGAAGCATTGTCCAAGAGCTGACAAGGATTGATTGATAGCAATACCCTCCTCCAGGCCTACGCCGGTCAATCCTGGCTCAATCGAGCACATGCAACGCGTGACCATGGCGTGTGGGACCAAATCAGCCACCCCCCCCCCCCACCCCCCCGAAAAAGGTGCGAGCTCCATGACAAGGATAGACAAAGGCAAAAGGAACTTCTACATCTCTCGCTGTCCATCTTCCTACATCTTGATCCCGGCCTGTGTCATGAGCCCTCTCGCTGCCGGCCAAGTCCACCAAGCACAGCTTCGACCGGAACTCTTCCACCCAACCGCCTCGTTTGACCTGTGGGATGTATAGCTTCCAAGCTTTTGCCTTTCGGTTGGTAGGCTGCAAATGACCACATCTTGAAAGTGGCCTCCTTTCGGAATCGGACGATGAAAAGCGTGTGGCCACGGGATGATTCGGGATTCATGCCCGTAGCACCTCGGATGCGAGCACACGACGTGCAGGGAAAATGTTGGTGTTTCTTCCCACGACCACCTAAAACGCCAGCGAGGCTCGAATTGACCGATTGGCATCGCCCATCTTCCGAAATGATTCGGCCTCGAAATGGCAATCGCGTCTCCAGCCGCAATTGCAAGACATGCACCCCGAGCAGGACCCCTAGCAAGCCATGCACGCGGCCAAAAACTGCAGCTGTCAACCTGGCGCGCCTTGTCATGATTGCTGCATGCTCTCCAGATCTTGTCCATGTTCTTGCGGTCTTTCGGGTCATATATGAAGACCTGCGCAGAAACTCGAGAACTCCCAGGAATGTTCTTTATGAGCATGCACTGCCACCAGCGACGGACCTCACCCTTGTTGTTGAAGACGTTCAACTTTTGCCGATCTTTCTTCCGCGGCTCTAGGAGATCATAGACCTCGTCCATGTACACTTCCAGCATGGCAATCTCAACCTCAGCTGGGATCATGCCCTGGCCCGGGTGCAGTTTACACAGATGAATGTTATTCTCGAAAGCATTACAAAGGGTTTTCGGGGGAGTTCCTTCCCTCGCGTTCGTTCCTCATGGGTTCAGGTGCTTAGAGTCGTCTCCATAAACCGATCTGTTTAAGGCGAGGGGGCGGGCTAGCGAGGAAAGTAGCTGCGGCGCTGGAACCTGCAATATCTTGGGGGGAAGGACCACTTCGCGAAGGACGCTTGGGGCTTTCTTCAGCTCATGATGCTCCCTTGGTGGCCCGTGCTCGGGCAAACCCGGAGCAGCTGATGCTCTTGGTGGCCCGGGCCCGGGCAAACCCTGAGCAGCTGATGCTCATGATGCTCGCGTGGTGGCTTGTGCTCCTTCAAACACTGAGCAGCTGATGCTCATGATGCTCGCTTGGAGGCCCGTGCTCGGGCAAACCCTGTGCAGCTGATGCTCATGATGCTCGTGCTCGGGAAACCCTTGAGCAGCTGATGCTCATGATGCTCGCTTGGTGGCCCATGCTCGGGCAAACGCTGAGCAGCTGATGCTCATGCTCATGATGATCACTTGGTGGCCGGCGCTCGGGCAAACCCCGAGCAGCTGATGCTCATGATGCTCGCTTGGTGGCCCGGGCCCGGGCAAACCCTGAGCAGCTGATGCTCATGATGCTCGCTTGGTGGCCCGGGCCCGGGCAAACCCTGAGCAGCTGATGCTCATGATGCTCGCTTGGTGGCCCGTGCTCGGGCAAACCCCGAGCAGCTGATGCTCATGTAGGAGAATACTTAAGAGGGAGTGCATCCAGTGCTCTGCGCTAGCACGAACCCGGTACGTGGGAGTCCGTTTGTAAAAGTCGTCCAGGGCTCTGGCAGGGGGGCTCGATAGTGCACTTTGTAGTACAAGTAGTAGAATCCTAGTGCCCAGGAGGCCGTCCAGAGAGCTGGGTGCTGGAAAATGAGAAACGCTCTTGAGGAATGTAACCGACCTCTCAACTCACGTGGATCGGAACATGTTTCGTGTGGAACGTACAACAACCTCGTAATCACGCGATCATCGCGCGCAGGAACGCACGAGAACCTCGCAAATCATGTTGGATCGCGATGCTTAAGTCGTGTTGAACTTATGAAAACCTTGCAACTCAGGTGAGTGTTTCACGTTTTCTTCACAGAAACGTACGAAATCCTGGCAAATCACGTGGTATCACAAAGACTTCAACACAAGGTGGGAAATCTCATGATGCCAGCATAGTGAGAGCACACGAAAGAGCACGCCAATGGTCCAAGAGCACGTGCAGGAGAGAGACATAAATGGGATCCCTCGAAGCACTCCAGAAGAGCTCAGCCAGAACACTTTCAGAGTCGGGAAATCACAGCTGGGCGACTTTGGGCCTAGAGTCCGTCCAGCGGTCCGTAAGCCACGCCAGTTCCGTGCTTCGCGAACATCCAAAAGCGACGACGAGCGAGCAAAGCTTCGGATTTCGCAACAACAACAAAGGAGTGAGAGATTACCATGCTCAAGAGACTCTGCAGTTCCTCAAGGACACAAAGGTGCAAAAGCAATGAGCGTCTCACGTTTGGTGAACCCAGAAGTCCAAACGCGACAGTTTCGCGTTTCGCAACGGTGAGCGTGGTCACTGAAAAATGATGCAAGCCCTCCCTGTGTGAAACACAGCAAGTCTCGCTTGACATTTCTGAAAGGTGGGGCGTGAGTGTACAACAAGTGAGGGTCTGAAATAGTTAAGCCCAAGACTGAAGACTGGCGTGGCAAACTAACGTGCAGAAAGCTGACCATCACAGGCTGCCAGCATCTTAATAAAGAAGAGGCGCATTGTATCTGACATCGGGATCCGTGTTCCCATCGACAACCTCGAACACTGCCGTGACTGTCCGCGGAATAATCCCGACGTTGGGTGGATCACCCACCACCGAATACGACTTGCCGCAGCCGGACTGTCCATAAGCAAACCTGGGAAGAGCAAGGACGAGCAATATGACCAATTCAGGTTGAACCCCCCCATTCTGCCTGCGATGAGTATGGTTTCTGACCAAGGCACACCGTGCAATTGTAGCCGCGAAGTGCATTCTTCATGACTAGCTTACCAATGTCATTCCACACCATGTCCTGATCCACCTGAGCTGCACCAAAACCGACGTCTGAGCACACCTGGACACTCTGCAGCCAGGGAACGTATTTGGAGTTCGGGCCATCAGGTATTCCTGAGTGAAAAAAAAGCACAGCTCTTCACCTTCTGCTTCCGGTCCATGCAAACGAGACCGCCAAGGTGCTGAAGCCCGGCCGATCTGGATCCTGCTTATGGGATGGCAACGCATAACGGGCATAACGTGGGATGGTCACGGAGGGCGTAAGGTTTCTTGCAAACCTTCTGTATGCTTGTCATCAGACAAACAAGCCGATCCTCCATGGAGCCATCACAGCTCCACCAGCTTCGATCGAAAGCGTAGGATTTGGGTGGCGCCGTCATGTCCTAGGCATTGCAGTATCCACATGACATGCGCAAAACCACTCAAGCAAGTGTGCAGCCCAGATGTCGAATGCACTAAGCTAGCCAGGGCACGTTTGGATCGTAGATCTTTGTCACTGCGCATCCACATCCTTTCTCAGCCTCTCCTTCCATCTCTACCACCTAAGACGGCAAACAGCAGGACACCTCAAACTCCAAACCCTTTTCTGCTTGTGGCATCTGATGGCCTAGGCCACTTAATCCCCGCACTGGAGAGTCACTGGTTGGTTTTTCAAGTCCGGCCAGTGTATACATGCATATATTCATATACACAGAGAGAGTGAGAGAGAGAGCGAGAGAGTGATGTGTATATATAAATATATATAGTGGTACATTCTATTTTGTTATATTATAATTTATATTTATGTACCGGGATATTTATGGTGTCATAAATTAGACTGTAGACATATGATATGTATATCTATACATATATTCTTGTGATGTGTATATATATATATATACATAGACTTGGTACCCACACACACTCCATTGATCCACCCCTCCGTTCTGGGTGGGTAGCTGGGTTTGGAGGGTGGGTTCCTGAACACGTGAAAGTTTGATATTTGGATCCGTCTAAATGATAAGCTGAAACTAAAAGACCCACCAACATGAGAAACTAAAGAAGTTCAACGTCGAGGCTGGGTCCAAGATTCAAGATTCAAATACCCAGGACAACTTGTTAGGCTTCTTGAGTCTTGAAACCCGCCCCAACGTTGAACTTTAAGTTGAATGTTGGGAGTTTCAACATTCCGTTCCCGTGCGTAGGCGCCATAAAGGGGAGAGCCCTTATCTCCAACAAACTAGCCCCATTGCCGAAACCTTGTCGCTAAATCCTCAAGTGCAGGATCCCTGCATCTTCTTCCCTCTGTTTTTCTCCTTAAATCTATTCCCGAAGCCCTAAAGAGCGCAGTCCATGAACCCTAAGCCCATTTCGCTACATCCTCAAGAGTCGAATCTTATTCCCTAAGTCCTGTTCCCTAATCCTTCAAGAGGGTTGCATATTAATCCCAAAAGGAAAGCCCTTAGATCCTAAAAGCAACTGACCTCATTCCCCAAACCATGTCGGTAAATCCTATTGGGCGGGACCCTTGAATCTTCTCCCTTTCTTTCATTCCCTTTACTCCTACTCATCCCAGAGCCCTAAAGAGGGGCATCTGGGGGAGAGCCCCTAAATCCAAAAAAAAACACATCCTATTTCCTCAATCTTCACTAAACCCTACACAGAGGGATCCCGAAGTCTTGTTCCGTATGTTGTATTCCCTGTAGTCGTTATTCCAAAGGGATCCTGCTCGAACGTATCCATATGCAAGTGTCAAGTCAGAAAACCGAAAACGGTGGATCAATGGGGAGCAGCATATATGTATATAGATATATACTACATTATATGCACATGTACTCCCCGTCCGACCACCAGCCATGTACATCCCCGCTTTCTCATTTACCTTCGTAAGTCTTAAGTTCATGCCCGAAGCAAGCAGCTCGTTGGCAGGTAGCTTCTCGTCCAGGAGTGCCATCCGGCCTGTGGCAGAAGCAGGGCGGGCATCGTTCGTACTTCACTGGAGCATCGGCGGCATCCTCCTCCTACGTTTTGTTTCAGGACCGAAAGCTCGTGGAGCTCTGGCGAAACAGGCCCAGGCCTCTTGACGAACATCGGCCGAAGCCGCACGCACACCTTAAGCAAAGTTGAGCTTGCAAGCCAGCGGTTCATAGCCTACGGTTACACAGACGGCCTCCACACCTCAATGCAGCTCAGTTGCAATGACTCCCTGCGGCACATCATCTTCTGCCATGGCTCCCGGAAAAAACCAAAGGCACCCAATTCCTGCAACAGGCTGTGTCCCAATTCTGTCTGCGTCCTGGACATACAGCAACCTCAAGGCAAACGACACTCTTTGCTACTACGCCTGCAGATGTTGCCTCTCTCATGATCTTTGCATGTTTTCAACTGGTGACACTGACAGCCACAACACAGAGAAAAGACCGGTTCTGTCTGCAACATGCAATACTGTGCCAGCCATCCCTATGCCCAACCGATGCAACAAAAAAACACCAAAGGCACCCAAGGCCATGGCAATCCTTGGGTCCACTCACGGTCTGCGATCAAGCCTGTTCCAATCGTTGGCTCGAGGCCGGCTGCCAGCAAAAGTCGTCTACCGCATTCATGTATGCGTTGCAAGCGATTGCAGGCTCTTCCAGCCACCCACACACACACACTCTTGCTTTTCGAATAAGACTTTATCATCGGGCACGAAGTGTTCGTTCAAGGCATCTCATGCAAACGATCGATGAAAATGGGTGAAGAATCAAACACCTCTTGAAAAAACAAACCATCTTGACGATTTCAGATCAAACATCTGATCCGGCTCAAAAGCTTACAAGCGCTACAAGAGCATCAGACAACGGCACTACGATCAAAAAACGACCGCCGTTCAGTGATTGCTAATAATGGTTGGGGGCTGGTGAGGGAAGCCAAGTATTGGAATGTTGGGGTTGGAACGTTGGGGCAAGCGTGCTCATATTTTTTAAGGGCAGCACTTCCAATTCGAGATTTTTGTTTCAGCTTCTTTCTGGTTGCGCTCAAGGTGTTGCGTCTTTCGTCGTTCTCTCTAAGAGCCTGTTTTTTGTTTCCTTTTCTGGCTGTTGACTTCTCACTTACACAATGCATAGGTGACAGGCAGAGCACCTGCCTAGTTGGAGCCTCTATCTTATTTTTGAGGCTTTCCAGTAGGCTCGGTAGCCACTCCAAAGAGAACTGGGCATGTCAACAGTCACTTGGGCGCGTACCATCAATCAAGACCTCACAGTCCTGCGTGGGACGGGCGAATGAGATCATAGAACAGAGCAACTAGAGGGAGGGAGCGAGAGAGAGCTACAGATACAGATGCAGATACAGATACAGATGCAGATACAGAGAGAGAGAGAGAGAGAGAGAGAGAGAGAGAGAGAGATACAGAGAGAGAGAGAGAGAGGAACAGAGAGAGAGAGAGAGAGAGAGAAATACAGAGAGAGATAACAGACGAGAGAGAGAGAGGAGACGGAGAGAGAGAGAGAGAGCGAGATCGAGAGATAGATAGGAGAGAGAGATAGAGAGAGAGAGATACAGAAATCAAGAGAAGAGAGATAACGAGAGAGAGAAGAGAGAGAGAGAGAGAGAGAGAGAGAGAGAGAGAGAAGAGAGAGAGGAGAGAGAGCGAGCTGCTTCACAAGGCACATTAAAACGGGGGCGGGGGGGGGGGAGGGGGTGGGCTCGGGCACGGTCCTTGGCTCCACACCTGGAAGAACCATTGCAACCCAGTGAGTAAAGCCGAGTGAGAGTATTGACAAATTGCACTATTCCTTGCGCTTTCATAGCTACAGCTCGCTACTAGTAAGATCCTACAAATTCAAGCCTCTCCACTGCTTGAGGTTTCCACCCATTCGAACTGGCCAGCGTGGGAATCAAAATGTGCCTCGAAGCAAGGTTTTTCAGGAGTGTTTCGAAAATCTGCAAATCTGCCTCACAAACTGTGGGATGAGCCGCTGGCAACAAGTGCCAGAGATTCGAGGTCGCAAGTCCAGACAACTTGGCAAGCATGGAGACCGCGAAGGCAAAGGTTGCACAATGCTACAAGAGAGGCCGTGCCTGCCAGTCCACGGTCCTAAGGCTTCCTAAGGCCCATGCATGGAGGATCCATGCTGCACCTGCAGTCACAATTCAGCCCGAAGCAGGAGTCTAGATGTGATTTTGACAAGCGCAGATTGCTTTTGCAGACTTTGGCGCCTTCCAGAGCGACACCGCGCGGCGGCTTTGTCCGCAGGGTAATGTGGCGCCTCACCGTTGGCTGCAAGATGAAGCGAGCATGCCCTGTCTCAGATGGTCCCTCCACTAGAGCCTGACGTCAAGCTTCAATGTACATGGGAGGAATGCTTCGTTGATTGACCTTGAAAAACCTATCTCGATCTTCAGGCAGATGCCACTCCCCATAGCTGTCGCCGCCTGGGCACACAAGAAGGTTTCACGCCTCTGGGATCAGATCCAGACTGTAGATTCTAGAAAACGAGGCTCCATGGCTCCATGTGCTTCTGTGCCCGGCCCCCCACATTGCAGCAGGTAGGCAGGGGTCGTCTGCACCAGGGTGCTTCCTCCACACACGACACGCGTGACAAGAGCTCGAGCCGTGCTGCCTGTTCAGGTACAGGCCTTCCACGGCCTGAATCTTGCCGCTCGAAAGCTCCACCTCCGTGATTAGACAGCAAGTCAAGGACTGATTGCTCTGGCAAACAGCTGTGGCTGCTCACTGGGCGTAGCACACACACTGTGCCCAGGTCAGCTTGGCAAAGAGAACGATCGAAGCCTGCCAAGAAGGCATGCGTGAGACAAGTCGCAATCCGACCTTCGCTACCACCACTTTGCGCCAGATAGCCCAGCATTCCATGCTGGTTCGTCAGTGTCTGATTCGCCCCGGTGCTTCGAAGAAGGAGCCTCCTTTGTGTGCCGGCGTGGGAAGAGTTTGCCAGTGCCAGGGCCTTGTAGTCACAAGCAGACTGGGAATGCTTCTGCAAATGCATGTCTGTGAACTCCGCACATATGCATCACACGCTGCTGCGAACATCTCGGCTCGGTGCACAGTGTCCTCCGCTGATGGTCGTCGGGCCCAGTTGTAGAAGACCTTTCGGTTGAGCTGCTTGCTGCTTAGTTCGGCCCTTCGCGTACGACCGCACATGGCCCGTCTCGATCCTGCTCGGTAGGCAAAGCTGTCACATAGAAGTTGCAAAACCTGGCTTCTTTCGGGAGCAACCTCGTCCACCAGAAGGGATGCTGGAGTCAGGTCGCTCTCTTTGTTTGTTCCTCCGTGCGAAGAGATAAAGCTGAAGGGTGGCAAACTCAACTGCCTGCACCATCTCTCACGTCGCGAAAGTGTGTATTAAGGTGTCTAGATTTCGGAAGAAGGGCATAAAGCAGACGGCTTTGCAATGCGTGATGCCAACCAAGTCAAGCTCTGGGCACCAAGCCGGCCCATGAAGTCCAGGGAGTGTGATCCTTGCAATATCTTGCAAATGCTGCTTGGAAGGGGCTGATGCTATGCAAAAGCATAAACAACGGTGCAACGCCCCAGGTCTTTGGACAGAGCAGAGACAAAGGGCTGGGCAAAGCAATCGGTGGCCAAGGCCATCAGATTCACGGCCTTGAGACCAGAACGTGATCGCAACACGATGTAACACGTGAACTGGCTGAGGCATCCGACACCACACATGCACTCTCGGAAGCGTGCCAGAAACTTCATTAAATGGAGTTTGGAACGGCGCTTAGGGTCTTGCTTCATCCAGCAGCTTCCTGACAACAGCAGCCTGAAACCCAATCCGAAACATGCAGACAGGCACACAGCGGCACACATATGTACACAACACCGAACTTGGGAAACCGAATCCTGCAGGATGGCTACAAGACGTGTGCCAGGTCCAATAGACACTCAGAACGTCAGATGAACTCATTCACACAGCTCCAACCTCCTGCTTCGCGGCAGCTCGGCATGCACAAGCTGCACGGAGCATGACATCCAGCCTTGTTCGACCCCAGAAATGACCCCAGCGTTCCCGCGTAGATTCTCTAGGAAGGCCCAAGCTCTCCTAGGGTCTACTCCTGACGCCAGACCATACTGTCAGGGGTCGGCCGTCCACATTTCTTGAGGTTTTTCTCTCTTGATTGGCCAAGTTCCGGCGTGGTGGCATTGGTGCTGATAGTGATGACTCAAATGTTTGCATATGTGTTCAGACACGCGTTGGGCAATCTTGAACAGCGTTGGTCACATGCTCCGCTCTGCTCGGTGGTTCCTTGGTTGCACAGCTGTGGCGTCTTCGCACCCTGCCTCGCATCACGTTTTGCCGGGTCACTCTGCACTGGGGGTACATTCCACTTTTGCAACGATAGTCCATTGCACACTCTTTCTGAACTTCCTTGTCATGCCTCGGACTGGAGACTTATGTAAGTTTCTTTCCAACGCCGGTTCGGGCACTGCGATGAACTGTAAGCCACATCCAGCATTTCCGCGCATGAGCAACATCATGCAACACCGTGCCAATTTTCTTTGATCAGCAGGTGCCGACACCAAGCTTCTGGTCAGTCATTGAATGCCTCGGGATGCTCAGAATTCCAGCCGCTACACTTACAAGGCACCTGACACGCGTGCTTCTGAGCTGCGACAAAGGTGGCAGGATCAAGATGCACACGCACGTGATCTGCCGCGGACGGAGTATAGTGGCCCGAGTGGTTGTTCCACATCACCACACCGTCCTGAGGGCCGAAACATGCCGAAACAAACTCGGGTGCATTTCACATCCCCACCTAAAGCTCGAAAATAAGCCAAGCCTGATACTTGCAGCGCAGGCTCTCCTTCTTCGTACTCAAGTTCTCCAGCATACAGCACAGTGTGGCGGAACTGTGGATCATTGGTGTCCCACTGTTTGGCCCAGCCACGAGTGAACTCACCTCCTGAGGAATCACACTCTTGACGGTTTGCTGCGGTGATGTGATGAAAAACAGCTGTGAAGACCTTCTGAAGAGCCTCCCGTATCTGTATGACATGCAATCACAAGCAGCTTGACTTGCTAATTGCTGCTACGAACTGACCACCCCTCCCCGCCCCCAACCCAGCCGCGCATATTCAGCCGGGCAGGGCTGCACGCACGACACAATGACCAGGGCATGAAGTCGTATGGCAAGGCTCTTTGCACCAGCGAGGTGTGACCAGCCAGGACGCCCTCATGCACCAAGTGGTCTTCGTGAATCCTTATGTGCAGAACTTTGCTGAGGCCAGCACGCTGTGAGTACTTCTCCCCTGAATAACGATCAAGCGTTCTCAACCCCGAGGCGCAGTGTGTGAACCGCTCAGATTGCTTCGAAAGGCCAAGTGTCAGTCGGATATGCTCCTGATCCCCAAGCATGACCACATAAAGGTACGTGCCATTCTTCAGTCCAGCGCGCCCTTCCCGGACATCTTGAATGGGACGGATCTTTTTCACTTCCTTGGAAACGACAGCCTTTGCCCCTTTGCCCAAGAAGCCCAACGCACCCAAGCTGACGACGCCAAGAAGCGGGACCAACGGAATCTTGGCGCGGAAGTCTAGATGCATATCCCAGCTCTTTGTCCTCAGTCAAGTGTGTGCTCAAGTCGTCATCTGAAGGGAAGTCCAGCATGGCTTTCGGCAAAGAAGCTGCTGGATCATTAAAACAACCCTTTCAGCACAGGCATCTGAGATAGTCCGTGCTTGCAGCGGCTGGTAAGATGAAGTCCTTGGAACCTTCATCTCCGAGCCATCCGTAGAGATATCTGTCACGGGACAACTCCGGGGTCCCAGTGCTCCATGCAGCCACAAGAAATCTCAGCAGCAACTGCCCTGTTGCCTGAAAGCGCACTGGACGACTTCGACAATTTGCGCACAAGCCGACCATCCTGAGACCGGATGAAGGACAAGAAGCAGGAATCGACTCAGAACGGTAACGTGCTGATTGTTGCAGACCAAGGTGCAGGACCCCCTGTCCGCTGCAATGTTCCTGGACCGTCTCCCGGTCCATCTGGGCACGTTCAATCGCATCGGCACTTGCCCGAGCCAACGGTCCATGAGCATTCGCTTCTTGCTGGCATGCCAGGATGTTGCCGAACCATGTGTGTAACCCATGTCTACTTGCCATTTGCTGCGCTGACCCTGCGTTTGCCTGACGAGAACGACGACATCCTCGACAACGATCGCCCCAATTTCGAGGCCTCCAGTGTAAAGTGCTGCACGCCTTATGGAGCCTCAGCAGTGGCCCTGAACCTTGCGAAGCAGCCTATTTGCCTACCGAGCTGCGTGACAGTGCTCTGATGCCGCCCTCTTGCTACCTGCAGAAGCAGCGCAGACCAAGAGTGCGACATTTCGTGATCTTGAGCGATTCGGCGATTCGGCTTCCTACAACTGAAGTATATTGGTGGAGCTGCCATGGTGGCACTTGTAAGGAATTGCTGCCCTCATCTGCAGCCGAGGCGCAACTCGACTTCGAATGTTTGTCTGACTCCTCGTGCACGACATCCAGCTGCAAGCGCGCAGATGGCTTCAGAAGCTTTTCAGTCTTGGCGAGCTGCCTTGGTTCCAACCAAGCAACACCAGGCGCCAGCATCCAGAACTCAAGAACTTCGACAGATGCTATTAAAGCCCGGGTGCACCAACTGCTGCACGAAACCATCGTTGCTGAGGATCCAGCCACGGCGCTCGCTGATGAGCTTGACCACAGCGAGCAAGTCCATTCGATCCTCAGCGGTCAGGTTCGCTGAGTTGGCGCCCTTTCACAGCTCTGTACATGGAGAATCAATGGAGGCTCCGAATTGTTTTGATTTCCGTCCATGCTCGTTGATTCAGTACAGGGTGAAACTTTCACAGCATCCAGAGTCATCCGTGAGGCTGTCTTCGTTGCTTATGGTTTGGGTTCACCTAAACCAAGCTGCTGTCATGATCTGAAACCTGAACGTCACGGACCTCCGAACGTGTGCTCCCCTACCGCTTCTTCACCATCACTGCACTCAACCGGTCCTGCTGCTCTTGATCTGAGTAGTATGCTTGATTTGTGTTGTACATGCGCATCACGTCCACGCTGCCCTGGTCATCACCAGCCACAAGCACAGGTGAGTTCGGAGAGAAACGAACGCATGTTCGCCGCCTTTGAGGCTTGTCCTCCTGAGGGTAGTGCACAACAATGGGATCCAGCGGCTTTTCGGCCAAATCCCAAAGCTCGATGCGACCGTCGTCCATGGCTGCCGCGAAAGATGTGGAGTTCTGCGGGGCCCAAATGACATCATTCACAGAGGCATAAAGGTCTGTTGATTGGAATGTCAATAGCGGTGTCTCTGGAGGATGTCCCGGAGGGGGCTTGGTGGTCCAAAGCTTCATAGTCCAATCTGCTGAGCATGTCAGAAAGGCGTGAGACATGAACGGGTTGCACCTGACCCTGTAAACGGGTCCGGAGTGGCCGTAGTATGTGTCTAGGTATTGCTCGTTGTACGAGGTTGAGCATCGATGGACCAAACCGTCCTCCGTGCCAACTAGATAGGTTGAGGGATCGTGTCGAGGAAAGTCTATGCAGAACCCACTGCTCTTCCTGAACACGATTCCCTCTTTGTGCTTGTAAACGCAATTTGCACCCAAGTATGGATTGGCAATTCGCTTCAGCGGCATGAGCAGCATCTGCTCAAGACCTTTCTTCAGTGACCACTGAAGAACATTTCCGTCACTGCTGACAGACACCAGCAGCTCAGGAGGCTGCTTGTCTGGGCCTTGGTCAACCCACCGCGTCTCCCAGACAATGTCCGTGTGCTTCTGGTCATTGTGCGACGACACTGAAGACCCGCTTCGAAGCACTGGGGTGTCTGATGGCCGTCGCAAGTCCCAAATCATGACAGAGCCATCATGGGTGCCTGCTGCTACCATGTTCGGGTGAATGGACGAGAAATGCAAGGCCGTCACACCGTGCCGCGTTCGGATCACCCGCTCAGGGTAGGTGGGATTCTTCAACGACCAGAAGAGCACCAAGCCACCAGGATTGATGGGAACTGGAGCGGTGTCACCGTAAGACACAGCCAGCAAGTCCTTGTTGTTGCTGTTCCACTCTGCACAGGTCACGGTCATACCTTGTGTCAGCTGCGGTGCATCGAAGCAAAAGAGATCTTGCAAAGCTGGCTTGTCAGCATCCTTCTCCTCGGGCAGCGCGTCTTCCGCGAGCTCGTCCCCTCCTTCCTCACCTCCCTCGGCCTCCACTTCCAGGCCAGCCCCAACAGGAGCAGGTTCAGCTACCGGCACATCTTCTGCGACTGAAACCTCGCCAAAGCCAGATGTTCCCATGGTGCCCAGGGCCTCTTCCATTCGGATCTCGTCGAGTCTTGCGAGCTCATCTAGGGTGGGGTAATTACGGTAGATCATGTGCTGCCGGTGGAAAACATTCTGTGAGACAATACGCTCCATCACGCGCAACGACTTGGCCATTTCATCCGGGATTGGATTCTCTGCGCCAACTTGCCATGGGATCTTGTCACTCACTTCAGGCTCCTCTTTCGGGACAGCATCGGCCTCGTCCTGTCCAGGCTGCGTTGTGTCACCAGCTACCAGCATCTCAGGTTGAGCAGCAACAGGGTAGCCATGCTGCGTCTCAGCAGTGGCCCCTCCCGCAAGCGCCGATGGCCCCGATGAAACTCCGCCACGGAGAGTTCCTGAAGCACCAGCGGCATTTCGAACGCCACGCCTTCCGCCATCAGCACCGCTTTTCTGCTTGACCTCCTTGGGCAAATCAGAAACAGGGTAAGGCTCCTGCATTGTGAATAAGCAGCCCGGCTTCTTCACTGCCACACTAACGGCAGCTTGGGACTCTTTCTCGCATGCTTGTTGAATTTGCTCATGCTTGGGCACCGGCGCAGTGGCAAAAGCATCATAAATGTCCCAACCTGTCACGTTCACCTCCGCATGCTCTGTGTTAGGGGCTGCTGCAAAGACCTCCTTGCTCTTGTGAGGCTGGTTCATCGTTTGCGCGTGCTGCTCCTTGTACTGGTCACTGTCGGCCTTTGAAGCACAAAGTTCCTCATAGGCCTTGTTGCGGGAGGAAACCGATCCAGACTGAGGATTGTCAAGAGATACACAAAGAGATGGGAAGACCAGGAGGGTCTCTGTCTGTGTCTCACTGAGCACTATGTCAATGGGGCGCTCCAGCTCGTCCTTCGAGAGCGTGGCTTGCTTCGGCGCCTTGGCTTTGATCTCCGCTGCTGTTGGTGGCGGCTTCTCCGGCACCGCTTTTTCATCTTCGTGGGTTGGCAACGCTGATGGTGACGTTCCCAAGATTCCAATGGAGTCGAGATTCGTCTGATCAGCCCCCGCAAGTTTTTGGTAGTGCGACGGCACCAAGCTCTTGGGTGTGACATTCTTCCCATCGCAATAAATCAGCATGCGGCCCCCTCCTGTCACACCACTATCGCCGCCACTGGTATTCCTTGTTCTCGACGCAGTCGCCTCGATCTTTGTGGACGTAGACACTTTGCTTTTGGAGACGGCCGAGCCACTAGTCTGCTTCGGCAGGCCTCCTCTAGAGGCAGACGAAGCCACCGCCATGGCGTGCTAACGAAACCCGTCCGCACTTTCAGCAGCCGGGGCCGTGCACGTCTTAAGCCTTGAGCTACAAGCTGCGACATGCCGCCGTTTCATGCAAAAGCTTGCTAATTCATGTTTCTCATGCCTCGGGTGCACACGCAATCTGCTTCAAGCAAGGCAAATTCGGATTGATTCAGGCAGAGACTCATTCACTAAGAGGTAGGCAGCGCAAAGGGCTGCGCTGCGATTCATCCCGGCGAAGCAATGCAAGAGAACAGGCCTTCCTTGGCTCGTGTCGCATGACCCATTCAGGGCACAATGCCATGGCTCGGCGAGGCGGGCATCGTGTCGTTCCAGGTATTGCCAGCCGAGGCTCTTTGGGCCCGCTGTTCATTCAGAAACCTCGCTCAATCAGGTAGTTTACAACGAGCTTTCACCATAAGAGCTGACATCCACCCGTGGTACAGGCAAATCCAAGCAGACCACGCGCTAAAAGTCAACTCCAAGCCTTCAGGCAACAGGAAGGCATAGCAACTTGTTGAACCAAGAACATGTTCAGGATCCTACCAAAAGAAACCCACGAAGAGTGAGGAGAGCATGTGGCGTTTGGCATCGTTTGGCACTTGCAGGTTTTTTCGACAGAATGAGCTCCTGATCGACCCCCAATCCCAAGATGGGCCAAGTTGGGCCCAGGAGCTCCGAAACCGCCTCGAGGTGCATGTCTAACCTTGGCGAGTTGCGTCGAGGCTTCTCATCTTGCGCTTGCAACTACCATGATACTTACAGGTTGTACTAATGCCAAAAAAGGAAGATGACGCACCTAGCTGGGAGGCAGTGGGTACATCTCATCATCTTCCGCCTCCACATGAATGTACTTCCAGTCCTCTGGATATACGACCTTGCAGCCCACGTCAAGCTTCATCGAATCTCTGTGGAAGAAGATCAAGCAAGTACGAGTACGAAGCCATGATGGCTGACCCTAACAAGAAACACCCACACACCCACACACCCACCCACCCACACACACCCACACACCCATACACACCCACACACACCCACACACACCCACACACACGCCCACACACACACACACACGCACACTCACTCACTCACACTCACACTCACACACACACACACACACACACACACACACACACACACACGTTTGTGGCTAGCAAGCTGCATGAACAACGTCCGGCGCTGCATTGACCACTGCGCCAATCCCATGGGCTCGCAAAGACTCTACATCTTGGGCTTCTCGAAGGCCACCGATGTATAGGCCCCAATCCTCAGTCACATCCTGCTCCATCTCGTGGTGAAAATCTTTACGTTCCACTTGCAACAAAACTGCCGGTTAACATCGGGACCGACAAACGACAAGAAACGCATGAACGCACGCAAGAAAGCATGCACGAGTCTGTTGCAATGGGGTTTTGAATGTCTGCCGAACCTAGCGTGTTGGAAGGGATGGGGCCCATTCTCCTGTGCCAATTACAAATATCATGACATGTACTGCCCAGATGCGGCAAATAGCCGAAGATGGTAAGAGCCTCATGGATGAAAGTCATTTAGCTTGAGAATGAGACTGAGGTTTCCATAAGTGAGAGCGCGTCGGGCCACTTGTTAGTGGCCCTCGATGACGTTGAGAACATCGCACAGCTTCTCCAATCAAAAGTCGGGAGTAGACCGTGCACAGGAATATATCTTTGCGAGCATTTTGCAACACGGCTTGCAAGGGTAACAAAGGGGAACAATGTTCATATTCAGTCAAAGACTGAGTGGCCAGTGTATTCGCAGCAAAAAGTGTTGCTACGTGTTGCTTTTCGAGTCTTGTCACGTCCGTGTTGGATGACAGTTCAGATACAAAACGAAGATCGTGAGTTTGCCTGATTGCCTCATCGCAAGCCTGTGCAAGGGAGATGGTTGAAGCAGTGTCCAGAGCGACCGCAAACGGATGCAATTGGTACATTCTGGCCAACATCTGATGTCAATACGCAGCTGGCATAACAGAAGAGCCTGCGTTAATGCTAGCATTTGCGATTTCCAGCAAGCCGTGAATCTAGTATGTTCCCTTGCGGTTGGGATGTAGCGCACACAGGTGGGAGCAGCAGCTGCTGGCATCACGGCCACCGTGTTGTCAAGACGATGCTTAGGTTCAACATCTCCAAGGTCGACGCACGTCTTTGAGGTTTAGACTTCAAAGCCATGACAATAATTAATCCAATGTCCGGCCAACGGTTCTACTGCCGTAGTTCTTGCACTTGAACAGGGGATAGTGTGACGGGGATACATTGTCAAACCATGCAGAGCACTAACTGTTGAACATGCCACAAGTTAAACGGTGTCGCATGTACAGGCAGTTCATCATACCGCCCTCATTGTCTGATACAAACTTCCATATTCGCGCACACACACATACACACATACACGCATGCATCAAAGCTTGGGCACAGTCAGCTTCGCAGGCCCCTCTTTGGGCTCCGCTTCACTGATCGTTGCCCTTACCAAGTCCTTGCACCATCCAGTGAAGTGCTGGAGCACAAAAGGAAACAAGGGCAGCAAAGCAAGAACAGACGGCGTAAATGCCGAAGTGTCATGAACAAGTTGCCAGTATGTTTCTGCTAATAGGTCCTCTGCGTAGCAGTACTCCTGAGGCAGGTGCGCTTATAGCTCGGCACCACTTGTCGTCTGTGTCGCAGTCCATGGCTGCAATCGTGGTGCAAACCACAAGTCTAACAAGTGGAAGAGTCCATGGCTGAAAAAACCGTTCAGTTCATGGAGCATCATGGGGAGATAAGGCCACACTTAGAGTGCCAGTTCTTGCAACAGAACGGAGCCATGGCTTACATGGCTTCCTCACACTCGGCTGTCATGTACCGGGGGTGTGTGGGAGGTGTGGGAGGGGGGGGGGGGGTGGTGTGAGGGCACTTTGCTGAGATGGCTTCTCGACTGATTGTCCTCCTGCAACGCACCAGACATTCGCTTCGCGACACTGCTGAGAACTTGAAACCATATCGGCTGCGGGGCCATATGGCAAAGGCCAAAGCCGATGTCGCGTGGAAGTGGCCCTTGCCGATGGAAGGTAAGTGGCATACGGAACGCAGCGCTGTTGGTTCGTGTCGGTCGCCAGCTCCTGCAGGCTTCTTCCAGCGATTCCAGTGTGGAGCTGATGCTGTTGCAGTGCCAACCGGTATGCAATAGGTCAACAACTCCAGCAGCTGCGCCGTTTCAGTGTAGTCCGGCCTGGGATAAGCATGCTGACAAAGACCAAGCACTTCGCAAACGAGCTGCAACCTAGCCGCTAGCCTAAATCGCACGCGTTTGAAAGCACCCGACTCATGAATGAGGGTGTCGCACTGGAAGAGGCCGAAACTGGTGCGACCTAAGACAAAAACGAACATGCAAAGTGCTGGGCACGTTTGCGACTGTTTGGCCTCCGCTCATGCATGCTGGCACACTTGCATGGCCAGACCTGAAGCGATGTAAATAAGGATTTGGCGCCCAGCACGAATCTCGTCGAAGGCATCAAAAAGCAGCGAGTTCGTTTCAGGCGTGTCTCGGCAAGCCTCGAAGGTGCAAACATGTACATGCAACGTGATGTCTGCCCAGGTTGCATGTTTGCACTGTATCCTGCTCTCCCTGCAAATGTCATCCGGGTCTCCGCTCGCATTGGGACTGGATCAGCAGGGTCTGCGGTGCAAGGCGAAGCCAAGCAGATCCTTGGATCCTTGTATGGGCATTTCCCCAAATAAGGGTACGCTTAGTATACCCCAAAATAGTAGAATCATTTTTTTGGAGCCCCCAAAAGGGTACCCCTATTTTCTGAAACCCCCTTTCGGGTTTCGGGCTCACGCATAGCGCTTCAACCAGGCCAAGGCATTGCAAAGACCCGTCTGGTATGCCGAGGCTCGTAGCATGAGCCCGATGACATTTTCCCACTCGGGGACTTCTGAACCTGGAGTTGCCACACAGGAATCAACACAAGACGGCAGTCAAGAATGGAAGCTGCTACGGCACTGCCATGACTTCTGGGGAGCGGTCTGACAAGCGGTCTCCTGTCCAGGAGACACGCGACATGTGATACGTCTGGCTATTCTGGGCATTTCCTGCTCTGAGAAAATGCGCTAACACCATCATCGCCCACTCCCACCACCCGCCTCTCATTACATTGACGGCTCTCCTCCTCATCTTGAAATCCAATACATCTGACGATTTGAAAGACGCCGGACTTCGATGCCAGCTGCCAAAAAGTTTCTATTTTCAGCCTCCTTGTATCCAACTGATATCCCGAATCGTCCAAGCAGGACGCAAACCCGGTTATGATACAATTGCTGATTTGCTCTGTTCGCAGATCATGAATCATCAGGTTCAATTTCAGTTCAAGCCAGGGACAGGTTGCCTAAGTTGCAGGTGGCGCCTGGGCAGGCGGGAGCCTAAATAATTAGAGCAGGGTTTTGGGGGGGGGGGGGGGGGGGGTCATTCTAGTCTATTTCTAATAGGGACCAAAAGGGGATACTATGAGTATTTGTTCCGACCCCTATGTTAGGGCTTCTGGTCTCCTTCTGGGATCGCCACTCGCCAGTTGCAGAATCTCTGCCTTGATGCGGTGAACTTCCAGAAAGTAGCCGAAGGCCTGGCATCGACCCGGATTGAGATGTTCCCCTTTTATCCTCAAATAAGGGATTAGAAAAGGGGGGGGGGACTATAATCCCTGTTAAGGACTGTTTGGTATAAGGGGGAACATGCCAAGCAGTGGACATGATGGGACATGGGTTTAAGACATATCGAGGCCAGTGCAATTCTACGGCTCGCAGCGAACGCGGCATGTTTCTTGCGCAGCATCCACTCGTACTTGCTCACGCCCCCTTGCTTTGCAAGAGCGTATCATAACGTACCCCCACATCCAAATCAGCTTAATTTGCCACCTGCATCTCCTTTTGAGGAGCTTTGCGGTAGAGATAGAAACCTGAAGTGCAGCTTGTGGTTAAAAAATGCCATGTCAATTCGCAAGTTCACGGACTCGGGTTCTTTGGTCCGGCAGCTTGGAACGGGAGACAGAAAACAAAGAGCTGGATTAGATAGCCAACGGACAAAATGATAGAGAGAGAGGGAGACATAGAGTGAGGGATGGACATACATCAAGGCCACCACAGCCCGAAGCAAAGCACACGAAAACCGATTTCGGGGAGCTCAAGCATAAGCCAGGCAAAATTTCATACAACTAGTTCTACTGCTTACTCGAATCAACAAGCTGCGATTGACAGGCACACTTGACAAATGAGAACATGATCTCTAACTTCGTCTGCACGACAAAGAAGGCCTTGAGTTTGTCCAATCCTATCGGAGCCAGATACGTCCAATTGAGCATGTATAACTATTGTAGCGCTTTGAGATCTCGAGGCATGGCAGATAGGCACAGATAGGCACAGATAGGCACCCGGCAAGGCTTAAAAAATCTCAATGGCAGAAGCGACTTGGTGCGCTCCACCGTATGTGTCTCACCAGAATGAGTTCACAAGGTAATCGCGGCGAATCGTCGAGCTGGCTGGGAACTTCGGATTTGCAACCTATGCGGGGTAGGGTAGGTGGCACGCCGAAGACAGGACCGCTGCAGACAGGTGGCCAAACAACATGTTACAATAGTACACCTCACAGCAGCCATCTCTCGCCAACTGCACCCTAAACCTGAACATTGCGATTTTGGACAAGGTTGATTTTTTGACAGGTGGCGTTTTGTCACGCTGTGCTTTGGGTCGGCAGTTTCGAGGCTCCGATCCGATTGGTCACAGCAGAGGTGTAGCTTGAGAACCCTCTCTTCTTCAGCATCTTGGCTACCCTCCTTAGCAAGATCGGCCGCAAAAGCATGCATACTGCCGGCGTAGGCACCACAAAGCATACCTCTGCTGCTCAACTACTGCCACGGGTATAACACCTGTTTTGAACAATATCGTGCCAATTGCTTGGTCCACTGTGCTCGATGAACTAGAAGCAGTAGCAGGTAGTAGCACTAGAAGTAGCAGTCGTAGTTGTCGTCGTAATTGTAAGAGTAAGAATAAGAGTAAGAGTAGGAGTAAGCAAAGCGTAAGCGTAAGCGTAGGCGTAAGCGCAAGAGTAAGAGTAAGAGTAAGAGCAAGAATAATACTAATAGTAATAGTCAGAAGCATTGTAATAGTAATAATAGCAGTAGTAGTAATAGTAGTAGTAGTAATAGTAATAGTAATAGTAATAGTAATAGTAATAGTAATAGTAATAGTAATAGTAATAGTAATAGTAGTAGTAGTAGTAATAGTAGTAGTAGTAGTAATAGTAATAGTACTAGTAGTAGTAATAGTAAGTAGTAGTAATAGTAATAGTAGTAGTAATAGTAATAGTAATAGTAGTAGTAATAGTAATAGTAGTAGTAATAGTAATAGTAATAGTAATAGTAATAGTAATAATAATAGTAATAGTAATAGTAATAGTAATTAGTAATTAGTAATTAGTAATTAGTAATTAGTAAGTAGTTTAATTAGTAAATTAGTAATTAGTAATTAGTAATTAGTAATTAGTAATTAGTAATTAGTAATTAGTAATTAGTAATTAGGAATTAGTAATTAATAATTAGTAGTAGTAGTAGTAGTAGTAGTAGTAGTAATAGTAATAGTAATCGTAATAGTAGTACAAAAAGTAATAGTAATAGTAATCGTAATAGTAATAATAATAGTAATGGTAATGGTAATGGTTATGGTAATGGTCATGGTAATGGTAATGGGAATGGTAATGGTCATGGTAATAATAATGGTAACAGTAAAAGTAATAATAATAGTAAAAGATATTGAAATAGTAATGGTAATAATAATAATAATCATAGTAATAGTAATAGTCAGAGTAATAATCATCATAATACTAGGAATAGCAATGATAAGAGCAACAATAATAATAGTCATACTAATAAGAGTTGTAATCGTAATAGTAGCAATAATAATAATAGTAATAGTAGTAGCAATCGTAATAGTAGTACTAATAGTAATAAATATAGTAATAGTACTCATAATAGTAAAAGTAATAGTAAGAGTAATAGTAATAGTAATAATTTTCGAAATGATAATAATTGTAATCATAATTGTAATAGGAATACTAATAATAATAATCATAGTCATTGTAATAGTAACAATAATAGTTATAGAAATAGTCCCACAAACACACAAACACACAAACACACAACCCCACAACCCCACAAACACACAAACACTTAAACACACAAACCCACAAACACACAAACCCACAAACACACAAACACACACACACACACACACAAACACACAAACACGTAAACACGTAAAGACGCAAACACGCAAACACGCAAACACGCAAACACGCAAACACGCAAACGCCCAAACGCCCAAGCGCCCAAACGCCCAAACGCGCAAACGCGCAAACGCGCAAACGCACAAACGCACAAACGCACAAACGCACAAACGCACAAGCGCACAAGCGCACAAGCGCACAAGCGCACAAGCGCACAAGCGCACAAGCGCACAAGCGCACAAGCGCACAAGCGCACAAACACACAAACACACAAACACACAAACAGACAAACAGACAAACAGACAAACAGACAAACACACAAACACACAAACACACAAACACACAACACACAAACACACAAACACACAACACACAAACACACAAACACACAAACACACAAACACACAAACACACAAACACACAAACACACAAACACACAAACACACAAACACACAAGCACACAAGCACACAAGCACACAAGCACACAACCACACAAACACACAAACACACAAACACACAAACACACAAACACACAAACACACAAACACACAAACACACAAACACACAAACACACAAACACACAAACACACAAGAACGCAAACGCAAACACAAACGCAAACACAAAGACACAAACGCACACGGCATCACGAAAACACGACGTGATGACACGATGCGGAACACAGCGAAACAACACGACACTAAGAGACGACACCGGCACCAACACATGCCACAAAGGCTCGACGAAAGACCCGAAGATACCACGATCACGACCCGCTGGGGCCCCATCCTCGTAGCACAGAAAGAGGAGCGTAGATTATAAGGGGGGGCCCAGCATCAATAGCAACAGCGATAGTGCACATTCCGCAGCTGGTGGCGTGGGACTTTTGCACTTTCTTGCCATTCACAACGCCCCCCCCGGCTGTCTTTCTAAACATCCACTACCTCCCTGATTCTGCTGATTCTTGATGCATATGCGGCGTACACGCCCTGCAATACACTTTCTACATGTTGCGGTCCCCAAACCTTTCCGAGACGCAGTAAGGACTTGTCAAACTTCTTGATCAAGCGGTCCATCCTGCTTGGCAGGAAACGTGAGGGGCAAGCCGAGGCCAACGAATGCTTACCAGCTCCATGACTTCGCGGCTCTGACAGGACCCACTCACCAAGCAATATTGATACTATGACGAATCCCCTCCCCCACTCCTATGATAGAATCAAAAGATCACAGATTTCCAGACATTATCTGGCTGAACTCATGCCTAGCTTGGCTAGCTGATTCTGAGACATGCATGGCTGGACTTTACTCGCTACAGCCTGCTCTGTGCCATTGAAGCGCTAGAATACACATGTGGCCCCGCCGCCCGCCTGACGTCCTCTCCGCTCAGGTCAAGGGCTTCTTCCTTGGGCCACTGCATAGTTTCCTCTGTGGAACCACCAAACCTGCACAAGCTGCCCAAGGAGTTCTAATCACAAAAGATATGCCACTCGAAAAGAAGTACCGCAGAACAGCATTCGGAAGCAAAGAGCTCACTAGGGAAACAGTTCAAGCAAAGCAATGCAGATGAACCGTCTCATTCCATGCATACAGGACATCACAGCTTCGAAAGGCCAATAAAGAACACTTTCGCGATTCGCCATCTTTAGTTCTCGCACCTGAGGATGCTCTCCCTGTTCTGCGGATGTGAGGATGCGTCTTCCATGATCTGTACACCACCAGGCAAGCCAATGTCACCTTCGCCGAACCTTTGGCAAGGAGTTGCTCAAAACAGGACAATATGTAGAGTCAACAACGACTGCTCACGGGCTAAACCTGGTGCGGGAAATTGCAGAAAAGTCTGCGATCTGGCATGCCGAGTACAGGAAAGCCTCAACGATCCCGCACATAAACATGTGCTGTGAGCTGGGGCGCTCCAGAGGCTCGTCCATCACGAGGTTGGCTACAAACTCCTTGAAACTGCTCCTTGGCATTCTGTTCATCACGTGGAACCCCTAAGACATGCCTCCAATCGGTTGCCACAAGTGAAGCGATTCTTTCTGAAGTCTGCAGCCGGGTAGCCTGCGAAGCGTCTGCATAGTGTCTATCGATACCTGCATCCGCCTGGACAGCAAAGGGGAGCACGAGCAGAATTATGGTTGAGATCAGGAGACTCATCTTTTGCAGCACCGCTCCTCAGAATGGAATAGCCAACCATGCTGTCATAGATCTCCCGGTGTGCGCACGTCAACTGAGCCACGAAGATGTTAAAGGCGCCGAATACGACCTCAACATAAGACATACCGCAGCTCGTTAGTTTCTGTTCCCACGACCGGACGACGCAAACTCCAAGCCTAGGCACTGCAACCACGAACAGACCGAGCGCCACCATCAGCAAAGGGATTGTCGAGAACTCTTGCATTCCTTCAGTCGAGGGCATCAGAAGCAACATGGAAAGGGGGTGAAGTAGATTTTGCATGCCGTCACCCTGTCAAAGCGTAAGTCAGTGCTTGTGATGACGCTATGTGGAGCTCATTCTTCATAACAAAGGTGGTATCAAACAGACCTACAGAGAGTAATCCAACACCTCAAATGGCTCTGCATGTTGCGACTCTCTTTCTGCATGGCAGGAGCCTCGGTTGTCTTGCATCCTTGCCGCAATCTGGAAGAAGCGCATGGCAGCCGTCGGCATGTCTTTGAAGGCGTCGGCTCGGAACAGGTGGGTAATGGGGAAACGCAGGCATTTGATAGACCGTCCGCTCTCTGCAGATTTAAAATGCAGATCTGCGGCCTGAAGTGTGGCTAACTGCCACGCACGTGGCAAACATGACCGCCAGGAACGTAACTGCAGAGACGAGCAGGAGAAGCTCTGGCAAAACGTTGATTGCCACCAGGACATACGCCTCGACAAGGTGCTCTTGAAATATGTTGTCGCACTTGGTCATGAGGTCAAGAACACATGGAAGCGATTGGGCCGATTCTGATCTCGACCTATAGCTTGTAGCACAAAGCTACGCTAGTACTGCTAGCGCGCGGTGTTTTCGGCCAATGTCTGACTGCAGGAAAGCAGCATTGAGCTTTACCGATAAGGCCGCAAGGTCCAGAAGCAAGGCCATGTAGAGAACCACGATGAACAGAGAGAGGACAGAGTACCTCAAAGGCTGGGCCCCCGCATGCGAGAACTTGGGGAGATGCATTCATCCACTGTTTGTTTCTGCTGGCATTCCGTTCGACGTTCTTCTTCAGGCTACTCAGTTCGACATGAGCACACATCAGTGTCCTGCAAAGCCCTTCCGGAACTGAGCATTCAAATCATTTGTGCAGTCGGTGATCCGCTCCTTGCCAAGTGATCTAAAGTCATCCCTGATTTTTGTCCCGCCCTTTTGCTACCAAGCATTAGTTAGGTAATCCTTGGATGGATGCCAAGTTGCACCTCGCGGACGCCCTTGACAGCAAGATGCTAAGGGGGGCCAGACCAAGTGCACAAAACAATGGACGAGAAATTGCAGAGTTGGGACCAGGCCTTCGCCTCTGGACACAGATCGGTAAAGCGACCTGTGCAGATCACTAGAAGAGCCGTACTGCGCAAAGTTCAGTCACAGCTGCAAGCAGAACCTGCACCCTCGAAGTCCCCTTCATAGTGCTGCAAGCAGGACCTGAGCATGCGAAGCTAGATGCTAGGCAATGGCTCCAAAACAGCAGCCACGCAAAACGGACTCGTTAAAGCTTGCCCCCCATCCGTCAAGACTTCTGTCAAATGCCGAGGCACAGCACAGGCTCGATGAAAAACATGACGATCAGTCCCTTGGCTAACCATGCCGGTCGACTACTGGCAGGTGCTCTTGGCAACCTCCTGGATCAGAGAACCGGTTAGAAAATTACTGCCTTGCTGCACCTCTTTCAAAATCAGACATCTCTGAAAGAGAGCACACACTTGAGGAGGCGTAAGTGTCCGACCGTTGCCAGTAGGCAAGATACCGGCTCACGCCAGTTGTCGACCATTCGTTTGGGGATCGGTACGTTGGCAATGCTAACCTCATCTCTACGTCTGGAAGGCTCTGCGAGAAGCAGAGCTCGGAGACCAATAGTTAGCCCAATATGGCACCCTGACACAGCTGAGTCGCCAAATCCCCATCCTTGATAGCTTTGCAGATATGACGAACGCGGCCGTAAATGAGCTGGGTCATGCCTCAAGCAAGTATTGCGATGCTTGTCCTCGGAGTATTTACTACTTTCCTAGCAAGACATGAAGAAGCACTTCGGCCTAGACTCTGGCCACAAAAACACATCCGTTCATGACCAAACCTTCGACATTTGGATTACTGCAGCGGTGTCGCCTAAGAAGTAGATGAAAGCCCGAAGGGAGAACATGGCAATCCTGGATGACGGATCCACCTGCGCCTTGGACAGCAACTTTGAGGCCCAGGGCCGGTCCAGAAAGCAATAGTTTAGGGTTCCAGGGTTTTCTTTGGCACCCGCATAGCTGGACGAACCGCTCAGCAGGCCTCGTTTAGGGTTTGGGGTTTCGGGTTTAGGCTGAATCTTGTATGCCGTAGCATGCCCCCCCAGACCCCGGAAAGCCTGGAGAAGGCACTTGCCCGAAGCCATCTTCGTTTCAGCCCGGTTCTGGACATACATAACAGTTACATACCACATTCATACCACATTCTCGAGAAAAAGATCCCTCAGAACAGTCTGCTGCTCTATCATCGCTTGTTCTAACTGTCTATGATCAGGGGTTCTGACCGCCAAATGCACCCAACTTAACTTGACTCAACTCAGCTCATGCGAGGGCCAGCTTTTTTCTGTCTTGTCAGGGAAGCGTAGCAAGGATAGTTCTGGGTCCTGCCAGGCTCCAACAGAAGCATGAATGACCAAACAGCCCGCAGCAACTCGGATGGAATATGGGCGTGAGGCAAAAACTGAGCAAGTACAATTCTGAAAGTTCACGACTATGCGAGCCCCAAGGATTCTGTCAAGAAGGCCAGGACTCTAACGGCCCCTTGGTTCTCTCCAGCACTCGACCCAGAGTTGGTCCTGGAAGAGCCGCTCCATACCAGGAGCCAGGCGCATGCTTTGTATGAATCGCACCTTGCAGGTGTGCTGCACACTGTACAACCGCGTTGCTTTATCTCATTCGAACCGACTTCTACCCAAAGACTGTCGGAACAGCCCGAACATAGATCCGAAGGCCCAGACCCGAAAGTGGACGCAAGAACCCCATTTATCCAGTCCCGGCCGTGACTTTCTGTGCCGGTGGGAATGTGGAGGCAGCGCGCATCGAGGCCCACAGCGGGGCTCCGAGCATGGCGGTCACAGCGCCCTGTGGCTTTGGTTACATTAGGATTTTCTTTTCCCACCCGTTTCGCATTAGGATTTAGGGTTTAGGGTTTAGGGTTTAGGGTTTAGGGTTTAGGGTTTAGGGTTTAGGGTTTAGGGTTTAGGGTTTAGGGTTTAGGGTTTAGGGTTTAGGGTTTAGGGTTTAGGGTTGGTTACATGTTTGGCCTAACTCGGGAGGATGTTCTGGGAGCGACATTTGAAGACTCTGACCCTCCAGCTGCCGTACCCATCACCACTCCCATGGCAAAGCTGGTGTCCTGTTGCGTCATACGTGTATTTTGATTGCTTCAGCTTAAGTTTCATCTGGCATAGACCTGGTTCCGGAAGGCTCCCTTGACTGTCGTACACGACGACCGCGTGGAATCTCCGGCCACAAGAAGCCGAGCGCGAGCCCACCCAAATATGGACCACGTAGCTCCAAACAGCAACACAAGGCAACCTGCGAACTTGCTCTCAGAAACCGGGGTACATGGTTGGAGTTTGGAGTGGCTTGAGGCCACCAGATTCGTGCTCCGAGCCCGTACGGAAGCAGGCGATCACACCCTGAGTTAGAAGCTCGGCCCAGCGGCCGGCTTCGGAAAGACAATGATTGTATTTCGAGATCCATGAGGCGCCGGCTTGGAAACCAGCAGCTGCTGATGCAGAAGTTTTGCTGCTGCAGGAACATCAGTTTGCAGGCGGGCACGGGTGTCAGGAGAGGACTGCTGAGTTGGGGATTTATAGCGCCTGAAGAAAGGATTTGACATCGAAGCATCTGAAGCTTGGTGGCTGAGTGAGGGATATGTTCTTTTCCCGGAATCATTCCAGCAGCCGCTCGCAAGCTGCAAAGATATCAAGCTCATGAGAAGAAAAGAATGGCTGGGCAGATGGCTGGCTTGCCTTGCTTGCATGGCATGACTCATTGCCAGTTACAAGCACCCGCCCTGCTAATGAGAACGCGATGTCGAGGGAACAAATTTCTCGACATAGGGGTTATGGGTTTGGGAGATGAAGCCCTAAAGCTGAACCCAAACTGACCTTTCCTTCTGTACTCTTTGCATGGTCTTGGTGGCATGCCGGAATCCAGGGGATCGGGAATCCAGAATTTCGTCCCACCGGCCTCTCCCAGCGTGCTGTTCTTGCTCCAAAATTCCATCTGCGCCTTGGTTTGGAACACACTTGTTAAACCTGCAAAGGTAAGGAGCATGGGAACCCGAAGCCCGGACCTCCACGTGGGGATTCCGAAGTGGGACTGTGGTACAGCAGAGAAGGTCACGAAGTTCTGGGACCTCTTCCATCACAGGCCTCCTCAGCTGCCATCGCTTGCTGATCTCCGCGAAGCGATGCTCCTGTTCATGTCCTGGCATACAGCTGCAGATCTCGAGGTCTTCCTCGAAGGTATACTCCACGAATGGAGGAAGGACGAACTCGTGTTCCACACGCCCGTTGAAGCCATTGAAGAACTGCACTGGAAAAGCCCAATCTTGTGTCTGAAACACAGGCATTCGCATCTGGGCAAAACGCCGCATAACAAGCAGCAGCACGTGCCGGTGCGATCTTGCGATGCTGGAAACCCTCGCATGAGAAGAAGCGTAGAAGTTCAGGACATGAAGAGCGCCACAGAGGTATCTGGAAAAGGAATTGAAAGACCATTGGAGTCGGGCAGCCTCCTCATCGATGTGTTCTGGCACCCACAAGCCGCGAAAGAGCAGCGAGCCAGTCAGATCCACAGGGAGGAGCCCTTCAGGTGCAGAACCAGAGAGTGGCTGCAGCGGGCGAAGGTCGACAGCTGGAAAGAGATCTGATGTGACTGATGGGCGGACCACACGGTTTCTGGCATGCTGGCGGCAAACAGCAAAAAGTGCTTGCAATGCTGCTGTCAAGAAGTATACAAGGCATGAATAGGGTGTCCCATCGCCCGTGTCCAATACCTCGAGCATTTCCAGGCTACGTGCTTGTTCCGGAATGCCGGCAGATGCCGAGAGCCGCAAATGGCGCATCCGAGAAGTCACCTGAGGCTGTCTGACTGCACTGAAAGTCTGGATCGGGGGAAAAAAAAACAGAACAAGATCTGTTCCAGAAAAGGCCTCCAACAGCTTGGACACGGGCACAGTCGTCGATTCTTGGATGCATGGACCACGTTGGACCCAGGCTTTTGTTTCACAACAGCTGGTGGACAGGCTCGAGACTTGAGGCCCCTAAGGACGCACACGTCCTCGAACTAGACACGAGCACGGGGGTCGGTAGTGCGTGCGCACATTATCCATTCTCACCTGCACCCTTTAGGCGAACCAGGACCTCACGGCCAATTCCGCGTGCTCCGCTTTGCTAGCCAGACTGTGCCAGCAGGGTAAGCTATCGAGAGGCTGTAAGTTGAGCACCACACTACCCACGGGCCCACAGCAACCAAAACAAATACCAACTTAGGAAAAAAAATGCCCCAGAAAAAACGGCACCCACTTCAAATGAGTCTGACACCCAATCAGGCCTTCCCCCGACCCTTGAGAACGAGACAGTGTGAAATCTTACTCAGGCATCCAAACCTGCCCGTCTGGCGAATCATCCAGCATGCTACCAGACAACGGCACCCATTCAAGCATAGAACGCAAAAAAAACACATGCTTTGGTGAGGTGGCCTCGTACAGATGTGGCGTGTTCCGCACGTAGAGCGCGACAGGTATGCTGACAAAGAACATATGCTTCTGATTCATGTGCAGCTTGGAGAAGCGCGGATCATGGTCCAAAGTAACCCCTGCCAGCCCTGACTCATCGGTCCGACTCAAGGAGCCAAGAAAGTCATCAACCGACACAGCACTTTCAGCTTGTTCGGCTGGCTTTGAATGGTCTCGCTCCGATGTTCCATGGGCAAAAATCCAGGAAAGGTGGCCAAACTGCACAGCACACGTTTGGACTTCTACATGCTCTTCAATCCAACGGAAAAGCTGCTGAAGGTTGCGAGACCATGGTGGATTCGTCGGCTTGCAAGCTTCTTGGAAATCCTTCCGCAGCTGTGTTATCAGGCTGGCTAAGGTCACAGGCTCTGTCTGGACGTTCTCATTCTGCAGCACATCTGGTGGCAGCCTTGGAGTTTGTGTTATAACACAATGACATGCAACTGAGCCTTCTCAGAACTTCTGGCAGCCAAAGCAGCTCGAGAAGCGTCCGCACGGCTTGCAGTAGCGTTTGGCCTCCAGAGCCCTGGGAGCGTAAGTCCAGGAGTAAATGGAGAAAAGCAAGGGCGTCGCTTTCCCAGCGCTCCGTGCTGGACATGCTTTGTCAGCATGGCCCCAAACGCACAAACGCCGCATCCAGACCAAGATCCCATTCATCTCGTGGCGGCACAAGCAGGCTCCTCTAGAATCTATGGAGTTAGCTTTTGCTGGGGATTGCGCGCTGTTCCACAACCATGAGTCCAGCAGCTTCAATAATATTTTGGGCACAGGAGCAGACACCTGCGTGAATCCTTGAACCACTGCGTACTTTGCATCAGCGCTCACCAAGGAACTTCATAACCAGGACCCAGGTTAAAAACGTGGCAAGAGCGAACTCGCGAACTAGGTTGCAATCATCTTCAGCACAGCTGTGTTCCGCTATCGAAGACACTTCCCCAGTCATGTGTTTTACAGCAACAACGACGACGAGCCGGCAACCTGGGTCTTCCTGCACCTCGCTTCAGGCTTTCCGTACCCAAATGCTGTCGAGCGTCTGATTCATGATTGAGCAATCCGTGGCTCAAAACAAAGAGGATGAAGTTGAAAAGAAGCCATGTGCTTCCAAAGACAAATCTGGAACGAATCAAGCCTCGTCAAAGGCTTGAGTGGGACAAGGAGGACATTTGTGGCAGTTGGGCTCGGTTTCTTTGAGTTCGCCTCATGGCCGATATCAAACGCAGAGTGTGTTACCAGGCTCGCGAGAAAAGATGAGTCCACCCTTGCACCTGCAAGCCTGGATTCATGGCCAGTCAAGCAGCAAGACGACTGGCTGATGCCTAAGGACCCCAGGCCCCGGCCTGTCCACAATATATCTGTGAGCCGCAGGAGGACATTGTGCACGGCAACGTTCGGATCCTGCTTCTTGCTAAGCATTCTGCATGCGATGCACTTCACAGGCGAGGGAGGTAGATGCACTTTGCGAAATTCACGACCAAAGCTGCCCCGGCGAACATGCCCACAACACCAGGTATTACAGCGCGCTTGCCTTTGCACAATATACTGCACAAGGAACCCTCTCGCGGCCGGGGGCTGCCAAAGGCGCGGGTGCGTAGTAGCTTCATTCATTTCGCTGACCACCGTGTGTTGGGGCGGGTTATGAATATGATGAAGAGAACTGTCTAAAGTCCTATTCATTGAAGTGGAAAAGTTTAAAGCTAGAGGCCCTTTGTTGACAAATACCAGTGAATAAGCTTAGCCCTTACGCCATATGCTTGTGCCACATATGCTTACTTTTTCACAGATGTCGCTTGGCAACTGTTTTCAGACAGAGCCACATTTCGTTGCAGATGTAGAAAAGGCATCAACACTAAAACAAGTAAACACGTGAGGGGGATAGCATAAATATGTATATATATATATATACGCACATTGCTCTTTACTTTGTAAGTTGGACAGATGTATCTTCATAATTCACGCAGAGGTGGATCGATTGCCCCTTCTCGATCACTTGCACGTACAAGCAGAGTTAATGTAGATAAAGGCTCTTTGGGGTATTTCGTGCTGGCGATGATGGAGAAATGGGCATTATGGCATGCAAGACTATGATGCGTGGGTACGACTCGGTACGCCGGTCCAGGCTCCCAACCGACTTTGCAGCAAATGGGGGCTTTACTCGGGTTGAAATGAGCAATGAAAAGACGAGAGTCGAAGCTTGCTCACTGTTTCCTGCTCTAATGCATAGCCAGGTAGCCTGCAGCTGGACGATGGACTTCAAGCAAGGAGCAAAGTCGCCATTTCCTCGGCATGACAGGCCGTGCGCTGTGTAGCACCTACAGAAACCAAAAACAGCGTGCAAAGGAAGCATGGCAACCTCACTAGCATCTTGAAAACAAAGTCTTACTTGATGTGGCCGCGGCATCTGTCCACAATCAAGTGCTTGATGTAGTAGTTCGTGCGCCGCAGGCCGTTGGATGTCAAATGGGAGTGCCACACCATTCCATCAAACAGAGGCTTCAATAAGCAGTGTGCCTTTCGGAGCAAAAACAACTGCACATCATGCACATGGTATGACCTGCTACAAGGCAGCCTGCGCACAGAGAATTTCAATAATGTCGGGATGCCTCCTTAGCAGCTAACAGGAGTGTGCTGTCTGCAGCGTGCTGCCTGCTTGAACATGCAACAGCTCTTCTTGACAAACACAGCCGGGACTCTCGAACAGAGCATCAAGGCCTTGGCATCTTTGCATCTGAATAAACAAGCCTTCTAGCCTGGTTCAGGTTTTCTGACCCTGAGATGAAATACCCTCTCGCAGCATGAACTTGTCACAGCAACTCAAGTGTGAAGCGCTAGTCTTACAGGTTACAGTGCAGCCAGCGACCCAACAGCTGAAACAGAACAACCAAGAAAATACAAAAGCGAGCCGAAACCGCCGAATGTCCGTAGTAGTACTTCTCTCTGTCTGCTCGAATGGTCAGGAGATCCTGAATAATGAGCTCCTAAGAACTCAAGCAAGTGCACACATCAGGATGGAAGCTGATCAGGATAATGCTTTGATCAAACTAGCGCTCGGACATGTCAAAAAAAGGCTTCGGCCTCACAACGGTGAATCGACACTTTTTGACGAGAGTCTGCAGCCACCCAGTTGCCACTGGTTATGGCCCACTCCAAGGGAGAGATCGACTGAGTTCCCACCTGGGACACGTGCAAAACGCAAAGAAAAGCATTTCGTAAGCTGTATGTCCTGAGGCTGACCCTACTATCTTTCAGCACTCATTTTCGACGAAGAGTGGCCGTGACGGTCAGCACCCAACTGAAGCGGTCACCGCGCGGCGCGCAGGTGAGCGCATTGCCCAGAAGCTCTTGGGAGTTCTGGTTGATGGCCTATCATGTTGCTACACCCAACTGCCCAAGATGGTGTTCGGACTTTGCGAAGGGCTCGCAGGATTGTCTTGTCAATGCCATTATCTGCCGACCATCGGGAATGCCACCCCAACCCACACTAGACTCCTGGACAACCCACGTCTTATCATAGGACTACCTTTGAACTACCCCACCTGCTTTCCGATTCACTGACGCCCCCGTGCCTTCATCACGATCGTGGAGCCCTCCTTGATTGTTCGGACCAACATCCGAGACATGAGCCTGTGTGTGCACACCAGCAGGAAGGTACCTTAAGGCTCCTATGTGGTACCGTTTTGGGGTAGTAATCCCCGATCACTAACCCAAAACGGGACTAAACATTAGAGACGCCAGATAAGTGTGCCAAGAAATCTGACCGAAGTCAGATGTGGGGATTTCCGAACATAGGGGTAGAGGGTTCCTATGATAAGGAGTCATGTATTTGGGGGGATGAGGGTCCCGCGATTTTGGGAACTGCCCATATCAAGATCTGCGCACACGCACGCGCAAAAGCCACTGGCATGTACAGCCCAGCAACCCCAGTGACCATGAGAAGCTGTCGATCACTGCTTCATCTTCCATATGATCTTTCGCAACTTCAATGAATGCGTCTACGAATGGGCCAAAGAATTCCTCAGCTAGTCCATGAAGTCTGCACAGGCCGGCATTGGGAAACATGTTGTGACAAGCTCAAAGTACAGACCTTGACAGTTCTGAATAGCGGGGGCGCACATGTCTTTGTTTAGTGGGACAGTATGAAGAATCCCGGTAACACACGTTGCTTGCTTCTCGGCAAACCAAGATTCTGTGGGAACAGCGTAGCCCACATGACGCAATCCAAGTGCTGAAAGATCCTCGACCATGCGGTAGGGGTCCTCACGGCACGGGTTGCACAAGCCATGCACCTCTAGGAAACACTGGCGGCTCTATCTGAATGCTTGCTTCAACCGGCACCCCAATTCCACGCAGAAGATCCGGCAAAGCTACACATGCTCCAGCAACAATGAAAGTGCTTCTGAAAGCAGGTTCGGGAATTCTCCGGACAAGCCCAGAAGGAATGAGAGTCCTGATAAAGCTCCTGACCTTAGCCGCTGGCAAGATCACTCCACATACCTGTCTGCCCTTGCCAAACATCGACTTTCTGATCCGGCGGGCAAAACCTGAAAACTAACGGCACAGGTTTTTTGCCACGCGCAGTCAATTGCATGTGTCGAACATACCTCACATTCCTCACCTGTGCGATTCAACTATCTGCCGGGTGCACAAAAAAGGATTGCCTCGTTGAAAGGCTTCGGGGTGTTGGAGTTTTGGGAACGATCCTATGTGTCCATCATCTCGCCATGTGTGATCAATGTATGTGACGCAACAATGGCCAGAAAATGCCAGAAAAGGCCAGAAAAGGCTTCGAAGAAGAACCAACAAGGAGCTAGGGCAGCTAGGGCATGAAATCCGCAGTTTCGCAGCTCATTCAAACAAATTTCTTGAGCCCTGGGGCACCATACGACGCATCAGTCTTCAGTTTCGATGCCATGGAATCTTGCGCACAACGGCGCTGTGGACAAAATGGATTGACACGTGCAACACAGGGCCTGTGAACATTCAAGCCGTGCCACTCAACCGCATAACCGAGTCGGCAATGAAGTGGAGTCTAGTCCTCGACTGCTTCATGTAATCCTGACCTCAATTCCACAGCGCGGTGAGCTGCGTCGATCAGGGTACACACGCGAGCAACCTGACGAATAAGACAGCCGCCAGCAGGCACCGCGGAGAAGAACTTGCCTAAGTGCTAGACAACAGCAGCATCAGCACATCTCCGAGAACTATATGGCAGCTCTGCACATGAAACTTTGCAAGTTGCCATAAACTTCATCGCCAATCTCTTCTCGGGCATTGTCATCCAACGAAGCCATGAACCGCACCAATATCTTGGCCTAGAGAACGTGCGGTCAAGCAAAAGCAAGGATTTCCCGCACGAAGATTCCAATCCGTTGCCAGGTTGGAGCCGAACGTATTTCTTTATCGAGGCAAAGTTTGCCGTACAGTGCCGTGCACAGGACGCAGCACGCCTCATGCCGCTCTAGAAGTATATTACATGCGGGAGCTGCAATCACAAAGCATCCAGCCATCACGTGTGGCATAGATGTGAACACACGGGCAGAATTTGCTTCAGCCGACCGGATGCTACAGAGACGACAAAACCTTTATTTCCACAATCCCTTG